CGGGCGAGCGGCCGTACGAATGCCCTGAGTGCGACAAGCGCTTCTCGGCCGCCTCAAACCTGCGGCAGCATCGGCGGCGACATACTGGAGAGAAGCCGTACGCATGCGCGCACTGCGGCCGCCGCTTCGCTCAGAGCTCCAACTACGCGCAACACCTGCGCGTGCACACGGGCGAGAAGCCGTACGCGTGCCCGGACTGCGGACGCGCCTTTGGCGGCAGTTCGTGTCTGGCGCGCCACCGACGCACGCACACGGGTGAGCGGCCATACGCATGCGCCGACTGCGGCACGCGCTTCGCGCAGAGCTCGGCGTTGGCCAAGCACCGGCGCGTGCACACGGGCGAGAAGCCGCATCGCTGCGCCATATGCGGCCGCCGCTTCGGCCACCGTTCCAACCTGGCGGAGCATGCGCGCACGCACACAGGCGAGCGGCCCTACCCGTGTGCAGAGTGTGGCCGCCGATTCCGTCTTAGTTCGCACTTCATTCGCCACCGTCGCGCGCACATGCGGCGCCGCCTCTTTATCTGTGTAGGCTGTGGCCGTGACTTCAAGCTACCTGCAGGTGCCACGGCTGACACTGCCACAGAGCGCTGCCCGGAGTGTGAGGGCAGCTGAGTTGCCGTTCCTGTTGCCGCGGTGCTGCGAGCGTCCTGTTGGGAGAAGAAAGCGCTGGGACTTAGACCTGGCCGAAGCTGGACAAATGCGCCCCGGCACCCATGATTGGGAAATGGTGGGACGGCAGGCCTGGCTGTTCTGGAACTGGGAGACTGGGAGAATCCCCTGCCAGGGTCCCTGGACACCACGCTTACATTCCCTCGGGCTGTGTTAGTGAATAAAGTATATATCTTCACCTCACCCAGGCCTGTGATTGAGGTGGGTGGAGAAAGGAAGAAAGGTGAGTTTCTCCAGATGAATTGTCCTGGATCTAAGTGAGGCTGTGAGACTAAAGGGGTTCCAGGTACTGTTGGAAGGTCCTGGAGGTCATCCCACACTTAGCACTTAACCATAAGAACCCAAAATATAGCCAGGTCATGGTCAAACGGGCACTGCATTTTGCGGTTTTGGTGAGCAAGGCATGAATAACACTCCAGAAAATCAGTGTAGTGGGGCAGCGCCTGTGGCTCAGTGAGTAGGGCGCCAGCCCCCATATACTGAGGGTGGTGGGTTTGAACCCGGCCCCGGCCAAACTGCAACAAAAAAATAACCAGGCCTTGTGGCAGGCGCCTGTAGTCCCAGCTACTCCGGAGGCTGAGGCAGGAGAATCACTTAAGCCCAAGAGCTAGAGGTTGCTGTGAGCTGTGACGTGACGGCACTGTACCGAGGGCGATAAAGTAAAACTCTGTCTCTAAAAAAGAAGAGTCCTGAACCTCTTTAGGATTCTGCAGGG